TAAAATTAGGTAATCATTGCCAGTTCTCTTGAACTAAATAACACAATACTGTGCATTTAATATATATCAAGTGGTTTATTTATTTATATTTTAGCCATAGATTTTACGTTCTAAATGTAGCAGTGCCTAAAAACATTCATCCATCTTCTCCAGCTTATCCTTCAGGATAGCAGTGATGTTGATGCCGGTCTCCAGCAGCCTATGGACAAAAGGAGGGCTTCCCACTGGACACATGCCAGTCCTTCACAGGGCAACACAGAGACACACAACCATAAACACACACCTAGGGACAAGCCATGTTTTTGGATTGTGTGAGGAAGCCAGAGTACCCAGAGAGAACATACCCTGCACAAGGAGAACATGCAAACTCCATGCAGAAAGACCCTGGAGTGGGAATAAAACCAAGAACCTTCTTGCTGCAAAGCAACAGTGCTACAAACTATGTTACCATGCAGCCCACTTTTCAGACATAAAGCAGAGGACTCACAACCCTCTGAAACAGAGTTTCAACATTGATTACAGAAATATCAAACACAGATGTTCAAGATCGAGAATGTGTAACTTTGACAAACATGTTCAGAATAATATCTGAGGGAAGATCAGGAACAGACACTTAAAACTTTGAGCAGTGGGAAAAGATTATGTACACTTACAGTAAGGATAATAAGTATTTGAACAACCTGCTATTTTGCAAGTTCTTCCCAAATCATGGAGAGGTCTGAAATTATCATCGTAGATGCATCTCCAATGTGAGAGATACATAGTAAAAATGCAGATATCACAATACATGATTTTTTTTACTAATTATTTGTGATACAGCTGCAAATAAGTATTTGAACAGAGGAAGAGACCCCAGAACATCCAGATCCATCAATACAGATATCACAGCTGAACAATCAGAGCCCAGAGAAGTTTACATTCTCATCTGGAGAAATATTTCTGTGTCAGAAGAATGGAAGAAAAAATCAGCTGTGAAGTCCTTCATGGCTCCTGGAACACAGACACAGAAAATTACATTTAAAAAGAGAAAGAAAGAAGAAGAGAGCAGCAGAGCACAGGAACCAGAACCAGGAACCCTGATCAACAATCAGAACCAGCAAACTGGATCTATTTGGGTTTACAGATGATCCAGTGATACAAACCCAAACTCCAGCATGTAGCAGCTGAGTGAATGTGGTCTGGACTCTGTGGAGGAGACTTCTGGTTTCAGAGATGTTGTAGAAGGACAGAACACCTGCTCTGTGATCCAGGTCCACTCCTACTCTTGAAGAACCAGGAACTGAGATGCAGGCCCAGATTTTGTTGTGACCAAATTCATAACCACCTTGGAAACAATTTAATGCCCAAGATTTTTCATTATGTACAAATAGACATTCATCCCCTCTTCCTGTTCTGTTGATATTCTTGTATGCTACTGCTACACGAACCCACCCCCTCCACTCCACCTCCCAGTAACGACGTCCAGTCAGACTCTCTCTACTCAGAACCTGAGGCCAATCAGTGAATCTGTCTGAGGGACTAGAATAAGACTGAAATTTATCCATCAGTGTCACCTTCCTGATTCCCTCTGATATTATCAGTCGACTGTGTGCTGTGTTTGGATCCAGTGTGATCTGACATGAATATCCTAAGAAACCAGATCTGATCTCTGGTTCTGCTTCAGTCAGAGTCAGTGAGATCTTTGCTCATGTGTCTCAGGATGTCTTGTAGTTTGTCTCTGAGCTCTGACACAGCTGCTGTCACATCCTCCCAGCGTCTCAGAGGACGGATGTGGATGGCGGCTGAGGTTGTAGACTCCCTGAGGTCTGACAGTGAGGAGTAGCTGTGGAG